GCCTATTGATCAGACCATACTGGTGGCTGAAACAACGGACTACAGTCGGAACCAAAACATCCAGAGGAAAATAAAAAGAAAAAACTGAAACAGTATGTTGAGTAGGGGGAATCAGATGAAAGGGGAGAAGAAAAACATCATAAACATAATCAACTAAATACTGTTATGAGGTAAAGTCTATTTTGTGTGTCTCTTATTAAAATATTTTCTCCATACTGAAATGCTAGAAAGACATATGAGAGGCTGATGAAGAAATGAACACACATTAATTTTGATTATTGAAACATACAACCATACCACATAGTCATGAACAACTTCAGATTGCAGCAAACAAGTTCATTCTCATAACTAGAGTGTAGTTACATACCTATAGATGATTCAAGAAAGACAATAAAGCGTACTAGAAACAATTGAGCTGCTTTCCAAAAGATACTGAGCAGCAGCAAACAGCAAATGAAAACCAAATCAAACCAGGTTTAGCTCAAGAACCATAAAGAGGGAGAGATTTCAGCCCAATCGGAAAAACCTGGAAAAGACCTTCAAACTTCATCATCTTTTCAGCTTTTTAAGGAAAACAAGGAGGAAGTATTTTCTAAATTTTAAACCACTGTTTTTTCAGCAGAAACGAGATAATGATTTTGTGCAGTAAATTGGTGCTCGCAAATGTGTGGAATGAGTGAATGTCTTCTTTTATAGAGTGCACAAAAGGCATCTAAGAAAAGATTTCTGAACCTAGTACAACATATTCTTCAACCAGCTGTTACTGTCCTTATTTCCTTATCCAAAACCAGTATTTTTTCTAAAGATAAGGCAGGTGTTGCTGTTATTCTAGAATTTCTATTTTCAGGCCCTAATTGTAAAACCCCAATTTTGTACGCCTCTAAAATACTGCTTTTTTCATTTTTACCTTAAACTTTGTATTCGTGTTAGGCCCCTAAGGTTTACTTGTTTTCAACATCATAGGCAAACAAAATCTATCCTAAGAAGAAGATCAGAAATTTAAATCAAAAATGGGCTTAAGAGGAATCATGACACTGCCTTTGGACGTAAATCAATCTAAGAGAAGAGATGATTCAAATAATTAACCTAAACTAGATTTAAGATATTCAAAACCTTTATTAATTAAGCGCAAACAGAAGTTACAAAGATGGGATAAAGACTCCTAACAAATTCAAACTATAACATTAATCTAACTTAACGAGATTTAGGCATGCTTCCATCAATTTACTGGATTAGGGACATCAACGGAAACATGAAGAAGATAAAGAGAAGCAGGCATACAATTGATCACAAAATGAAACAACGTAGAACGGAAGACAATAATCAAGAGAAAGGGAAACTAAAACCAAACCTAATCATGGCCTGCTAAAAATAATGTAGCATGCAAAGAGGAAACAAAAAATCAAAAATTACGGCAAAAGAAGAGGAAAGGAACATAACAGATCAAATCGAGATGGAATAAACCCACAGGACGAATCTTCTTATAAACATTGCTTTTAATTCGTACAGAACTTCATTTGAGTTTAATCAACCTAACACGAAAAGGCAACAAAAGAAGAGCAACCTAATCATGCTGCTTAAAAAAAAAAAGATTAAACATGCAAGAAAGGACAAAAACAGAACACAAAATCAAACGTTAAAAGAAAAGAAGGAAGGGGTTTATCCGATCAAAAATTGGCCCAGGATTGAACAAGGTTCCTGCGTGCCAAAATTTCGGAAGTGAACATGGGAACTTTTGGACCAACATTAATTGCACTGTTCTTCGAAGAGAGAACAGCAATTAATGAAGGCTTTGGAAGTCCATTTGACCAGAGACCCAACCAACAAACGAAGAAGAATAATTTTAGGGTTTCTGGTTTGAATCCTTAGATTCAAAAAATCGAGCCATTCGTGGGAGATTCGAAGGAGAATTAGTTGGGGATTTAGGATGAGGATATGATCGGGGATCCCATTTGATGTTAATTTGGGATTTTTGGGTGAGTTAGGGTTTTTGGCCGGCTTTTCTTCTGAATCAAGATATCGAGAGGCGTCACGGGGATTCGGGGAAAAGGGATTGGAGATTTGGAAGGAGGGAGAGGGAGGGGAATCTTGGTGTTAATCTTTGGGGTCGATTGGAGCATCACCGCCGGCGGAAGCGGAATTTCCGGCAGGCGTGGTTTCCGGCGGAGACGGTTGAGGGATTAAAGGGCGGCTAGGGTTTGGTCTCAGAGATTGTGAGGAGACGAGTGAGGGAGGGGGGTCTGATGGGGGAGTGTAGGTCTGTCTTCGGACAGTTAAAATATTAGTACACAATGGAGTTCCGGGGCCGTTGGTATGATGAAAATCCAACGGGCTGTGATGAACTTGAGGCAAAACGGGGTCTGTGTTTGGTAGATCTCTGGGGTGGACCGGGTTAAATGGTTTGGGTCTGGACTTGGAGATGTGGCAGGAGCGAATTTTGGACTGGTTTGGGCTCTAATTTGAGAAACACAATTCCGAAAATACACCAACCCTTCTATTTTCAAAATTCTTTTCTTTTCCTTTTCTTCTTTTTTTGTTAATTAAAAATCTAATAGTTTAAAAATATAAATTATCTAAAATATGAGATTAAACTTAATTAATTATAAAATTATTAAAAGCACTTTAATCCTAAATTAAAAGGGAAAAATCCAGTAAAAGGAAAAATATAGAGAATTGGCCATTTTGTGATTTTTCATTTTTAATAGAGCAAATAATTAATTATTTATTCAAAAAAGTATAAAAATAATTCCTTAAGATGCAATGGCATGATATTTGGTATTTTCATAATTTAAATAAACTTTCACAACAATACAGAATGCAAAATATTAAAAATCCCTAAAATGAGTAAATTAATTAAGGGAAAAAATCTATTTGTCCTTTGAATTTGTGTATAGAGTATTTCGTACAGTGGGAAAAAATACCTGTGCTCACAAAAACGACATAAAAGTACTGTAAGTGATGATACTTAACAATTCAAAATAGGGAAAATGCACAAGTACTGCCCCCCCCCCCTCCCCCCCCTTCCCTCCCCGCCCCCCCGCCACCGAACTAAGGGTATATTTCCAACTACACACACTTAACTTTACGGAGGGTCCTATTACCCTTGAATATCTCAGAATAAAATTATTTACCCATTAGATGCTTACGTGGCCAAAGTTGTGTGCATCTAAAAGAGAGTTGGAGAAGCAAAAATATATAAAACCTTTTTTTTATAGATTTTTTCTTGTATCAAAAATGTATTATTTATAACTTTTATTCTTTCTTGCTTTATTCTCTTCTCTTATCGCTTTGGCTGCCCACCGGAAACAGGAAGCACACCGGAGACTTTTTTCCGGACATCCTCCTTCTATTTTTCTGCTAATCTTTTTTTCTCTCATACACACAAATCACACTCTTAACAAAAACTTCTTACACATATATAAAGCAAAACAAAAGCCAAATCTCAATTGACAGTCGGGAAAGGTTTAGTTTTTTCAAGGATTATCTTCTACCTAATCTGTGTTTACTCTTTTTTCTTGTAAGAGGTGATTAATGATAAATATACTTATTCTTACAGAATCTAACAGCAACATTCTTTAATTTGTCTACCTTTTTAGCATTTTTCGCAACCAAATAGAGTATTGAAATATTGAAGAAGGATCGAGATTTAAGCTCCACTACCGGCATCGACAACCAAGGTTAGAAAAACTGAAAATAGAAGAAATAACGAAACGAGAGAAGAAAAAGTAAGAGAATGAAAAAGAAAAGCAAAACAAAAGGAAATATAATAGAGTGAGAAATAAGGGAAAAGGGAAAGAATAAGAATAAATAAAAAAAAATATGAAATAACAGGTGGCAGCGCGTGTATTCACTGCTTGCCATGAATCTGGTTATCTAATATTACGGTGGTATTTTATTCATTTTGAGATAATTCAAGGTGGTAATAGGACTCCCGCAAAGATAAAGTATGTAGTTAGAGCTGTCAATATGGGCGGGGCCGGGCTAGCCCAGCCCGATCCACGTGGCCTTTAGCAATTGACGGACTGAGTTGGGCTAGCCTACCATTTTGATGGGCCTTATAATGGTCAGCCCACCCCAGTCCTATGTGGGTTGGGGCCCCCACGGGCCGGCCCATCATTTTTTAAAATATAATTTTATATTTTTTCTTTAAGTTCTAACCTAAAAAAGATAAATATTTAAAAGATAAAAAAATCTTATTGGAAAAATTTTACAAAACTTAATAACTTTTTATACTGTTCCAATATATCACAATAAACACTAAAAAAGTAAAAGACAAAACTATATTTCATTCACTAAAAGTCAAAACTCAAAACAAACTATTCAAGAGAACGTCCATGACACTTATGGGATATCCAACACATCATTTTCATCAAACATACTTGAATCTGCTTGTGAGAGGTTGTCTTAACATCTTCACTTTCATCTATATTTAAAATCCGTATGCAATATTAATTAGTTAAATATTAAGAATAATTAAAAAAAAATTATCTTTTAATATGATGAGCTTAATAAACTTTAAGCTTGGGATACTCTTCTTGTTTTTTTTTTTTTTTGTGTCATATACTTTTTATATTTTATATATTTTAAAATACTTATTTTTATTAGGCCCACGGGCCAGCCCAACCCAGCCTCAGTCAAGCCTCACAGTCCACGGGCTTACTCGAGCCAGGCTTAAAAGCCTCGTTTTTAAGTGAGCTCCTAAAATTCTAGCTCAGCCCTGCTAAATCACGGGCTAGGCTGGGCTCTCGCAACGGGCCTAGCCCATATTGATGGCTCTATGTGTTGTTGGAAATTCGCTCATAGTTCAAGGGGGTACTTATGTCTTTTCCCTTCAAAATATTTAATAAGTATATGTGAAAATCCTGGTCAAAGAAAAATTTTTTTAACTCTCGAAATCCTAACTGCATTACATAAATTTAGTCAGAGGGAGTAATATTTATGCACATTTAAATTTACTTATTGAAAAGCATGATCAAATCTCAAGACCATCAAACTCGAGTCTTTCATTTCTTTTTCCCTTACTATAAAAATCTCTCTATAACATTTATTTTTTTAGTACAAAGATAATGAATATTTGATACGATCAAAGCTCTCCCTAGTGAGAGAAGTATATTTCAGGTTGAGATTTAACCAAGCTTATTTTCTCCGGGACCCGCATTACGATTACCAATCCCTTCCAACCACTCCACCAATTTTGCTTCTTTATCAGCCATAACTTCTTCATACTTTTCTGATGAAGAGAGCAGTTGATTATTGGGCATGCTTATATTCACCTGCATCACTTGTAGGTCATTATTAGTTGGACTTGATAATGGCAACTCTTCATCATTCGCCTCTGAAACTGAGAACAAAGATCCGGCCGCTGCAACTGAAAGTGCATTATAAGTATAGGTTACATCAGATTCTTTGTACTCTAGTTGAGACCACTTGAAGCTATTAGCTTTTTCTTTCATTGACCTGAAACAGAAGTCAATAGAGCTCATTTCACTGGGTTCAACTAAATCTAGTACTTCTGACACATAGTGTATACATATATGTGTGTGTGTGTGTGTGTGGAAAACCATATTAGAGATTGACGTTTTTGATGTGTGGGGAATTGACTTCCTGAGTCCCTTTATGAGTTATTGTGGAAACACCTGCATCTTGGTCGCAGTTGATTATGTGTCCAAATGGGTCGAAGCCGTTGCTTTTGCCCAACAATGAAGCGATAAGTGTGGTGTCATTTTTGAAGAAGAACATCTTGTGTGTGTGGAAAATTATTAAAATTTCAACAAATATTAAATTTTCAACCCATAAGTTCGAAAGTGTAATGGATTTGGTGATAAGAACCTTAAACTCTAGATCCGCCTCTGACATGAAAATATTGGAGAGATAACCACTCTCACCATCCATTGTGGAACTGTACTCGACCCCAAGTGGCAGGACTCCAAGAACTAGTTCGCCCTAACTGAAAAGTTGACTTGGACGGCCTTATTAACCCTTTTCTCAATTGCTTATTCTTCGATACAACAGCTAGAGAATGTCTCAGATCTTTAATCATCTCATTAGCAATTGGGGCACCACAATCTTTCATCGACCTAATCATGGTAATAGAATCCTCTGAATCTTCCGTGTTCAAAGTCACTTCACGAGATTTTTCCTCAATATTGTTCTTGAGATTGATTAGGTTGGGAGCTGCACTCTGAGTATGATGTTGAATGTAGAAAAGACCCATGGAAGGCTCATTTTGCGATGAACTTTATCATGCCTGCCAAGGATTCAGTTATCTCTTAAAAGCCATCCGTCGCAGAAAATTCGTGCATTTTCTTGAAGGCCAAAGGTTCATCATCACTGGTGGTACAAAAAAAATGAGCAATTGAGTTATAAACAAATTATTATATTCTTTTTTTAACAAATTATTATATTAGTTTTCTTTTCCTGAGAATGAGAAGAAGCTGATACTTAGGTGTAAAAATTTGGCACGGTTTATTTCCAAAATGCAGAGTAAGGTTCTTTTTCTTGATCAATATGATGCCATCATTTTGAACCACACTTTTCTTCAGTGACAGTAAGTAATTCATGCGCGTAGGTTGAAGATTCAATAGACGCGGCTAATTAATTCAAATAGAAATCATCTCGGGCAACTATTGATCTCCAGTCTAAAACAACAAAAACATGTCAACTGGAGTTTTAAATAAGTCATTATGCTCTCTAACAATTGATTGAAGTACATTAAAAGTAATGTTGACCGACCAAATCCTCATAATCAGAAGCATGCAGACAATGAACAAAAATTACTCTTATTTCACAAAAAGGTCCTGGTAATTCAGCGTCTTTTGGCAGATCAAAAGAAACTGATGAACGATTTGTTAGTTCCAACAGAATGTAGCAGGCACTAATATACCATACTAGTGAAGCACCACAAAGGTGATGGATGCAGAAGAGACTCCATGTCGTATACTAAGTGTTGTTGCCGTGTTACTGTTTTCTTGATGCGTAAAAATTGTCAGACTCCTTTCAAAGTTACTTCTTTTTTACCTCACTCAAAGAGCTCATATTCGCTGGAAATATGTTAAACATTCAGTAGTTGCAAATGTACTTGAGACAAAAAGTATTTTAAAGAGGAGATGGCAGATCGAACCAACCATAGCGGATCAGATCTTAACTCCCCCAAACCCCCCGGTCTCCCAAACAAACAAAAACCTTTCCTCAAAATCCCCAGATATACCATGATTAACCGGGAACTTAGGTTTGAACTCAGCTGAATATAAAAGATTAGAAGCCCTGATACGGCCCAAGTAGTTCCCCTCTCGAAAAGGAAATCTTTTTCTGTGTATTTCCCCAAAAAGGAAATGCTATGAGTATATTTGCTGGTAAACATCCTTCCAAATGAACTGCAATGCTAGTAATTGGAAAAGCATGACAAGTTTCGCGGCATTAGCCTTGAGAAACTAAAACATAGCTCAGAACTGTTTGGTCAGGGGACAATCTAAGAAACAATGATCAGCTCGTTGTTCGTGAGCTCACAGTGCTTAGTTATCACCAGATAAGAAGTCCTCCCGAGTAGCATTCCACTAGAACATTGCAATTCTACCGGGGCCTTAGTTTCCACTTTTCACTGCTTTTCTAGAAGAAAAAACATCACGCCTAGTGCAACAACTCATCAAAATATTCATAGGAAAAGGACTGTGACACCGGGGGCATAAAGCAAAAGTCTCCAATAACTTCATATAACTGGATCCCTTATATCTACGGATCCCTCCTAAAAATAAAATCCTAATTGATCACAATTTGATTAGTGATTGACCAGTTAATCTCTTGTTGAAAGAGAATAGTCGCATTCACTACATCATAAAACAATCTGAAATTGGACTTTCACATCAAGTACCCGGCGCTACTGTCTTCTTCCTTTTCATAAGTTATCTCACAGAAACTTTACGGGACTTCTAGTCAATTCCTATCAGAACTAAATCAAACTGAAGACCCTCATGTGACCCTCTTAACTACTACCATCTAAAGCCGAAGCCAAACTGTCAAACAAAAATTCTTCGACCGCGGAGAAAAAGTGAGCAAGAGGTATTCAAGTTCTCCACTTTTTGTTCAAATAATAGATACAATCACGTTGCACCAAAGTACGCGAGACCAATCACTACGTCTCCTCCTAGCTACATTTTGTTGACTACACTAAAGCAACAGCATATCTTGACTCCATAATGTATCACTCTATGTTTCTTTCGATAATCACGGACTTAAGTTGCAGCTTCTAGTTATCCATAATGTCGTAACAACATACTATTCTTCGAAAACAACTAGCGGTACATTTAGCCAAGAGGGAATCAAATGGATTGACTAAGAGACATATATCAATTTGTCAAACATGATTCCAAGGAAAAGAAAGAGAAAAAGGAACACAGCTGTTTATTCTATTTTCTTTAAATATCTTACTTGAACATAGATCTTGCCCACTGAAAAGCCAAACTGAAGCTGTAGACAATATGACATGCGACACAACCTGCAAATTACAAACAAAATTCTTATCAGCCCGGTGCACAAAGAACGCATTGACGCAGGGTCCGGGGAATGGCCGCACCCAAGGGCGTGACGTAGACAACCTAATCTAATACGAGTATTAGTGGCTGCTTCCACAGCTCGCACCCATGACCTATAGGTCACACAGAGACAACATTACCATTGTTCCAAAGCTCCCCTTCAATAATTTAGCTTTTTGAAGAAAACTTGCTGAGAGTGAATTAAGCTAAAAATTATACTTCAATTGACTGATATATGGGGGGTTTGAAATCTTCTAACTATATAATTATAAGTAATCTGAAATTAAGTCCTATAGCTAGTCAAACCGCATAAACACAAAGATAAAGCTCCATTTATAAAAGAAACCTCAAAAAATCCAAGTTCAACAAATTAATTAATGAATACCCACCAAGATTAAGAGAAACGCACAGTCATCTTCTCTATTAATTGTGTAATTAAAGAGGAGTATAATTTATTTTATTTGACTTACCGGACAAACAAGAAAAGAAGCAAAGTATCAACTTGGGGAAGCCATATTTAGATTGTAAGGTGATTTTTGTGAAGCTTTGGTTCTGCTTGTTGCTGTACTTTCACATCATTCGGATAAGTTCTTGTTTTTCTTTTTTTGTCCTTTTTTTGTGTGAAGGGTCAGTGTTTGTATGATATTTGACGCATGTGATAACAACAGGGTTTACAGGTACGAGAAATTATGGAACACAGTTTACATGTACGAGAAATTATTTTCTAGAACGTGGGATTGTCTTTCAAACTCTGTGTACAGGAACATTCCAACGGAATGGGATAGTGGAAAGAAAGCATCGTCATATCTTGACTGTAGCCCGAGCCTTTCGCTTTCAAGGTAACTTGTCCATTGATTTTTGGGGAATGTATTTTGACGGCTTGTCACTTGATTAATCGAACTCCGTCTTCAATCCTACATGGAAAGACACCGTATGAATTATTATATAGTCAAGTGCCTGAGTGGACATGTTCGATTATTTAGTTCAGTTGAATTTATAGCGTGCTTTATAGACAAGCGAATCAATTTGATCCCAAAATGATAAATAAATTAAATAAAATGCAAGACTTGGCGTTGAAATTGAGTTAAAATAGCAGACAGCTTGGCTCCGGGAGCAAGGCTTCCGGATGCATCAATAAGAATAACGTTAGACAGAAAATAAAGTATTATTCAGCTTGGAATAGTGTGTAGCATAAGTTTGTCAGAATTTTCGTTTGTTACAATGATTATTGAAATCACTATTTATAGCTATACCTAGGGAACAAGGTCCTAGGATCAAGCCCCTCTTAAATGACAATAATGGGGGCCATTAATGAATATGTAATGGCAGGTCATGAATGTCGAAATTCTCTGTAACAGATGCGTATTAAATACTGAGGAATATTCTTCATTGAATGTCATCTGGTGACAAATAATTGTTTTCTCTCGTTGATAATGTTCCCTTCGGGGTCTACCCGATGCCTACCGAAGTTGTTGTCCTCGGTCTTGGTGTTCATTCGCTTCATCTTCCGTCTCCGCCCCCTCCCCCTACCCCCCCCCCCCCCCCCCCGTTTCCCACGTGTCACTCTATCATTCGAGCATTTAATATGAGCCGATTTTACGCTATACAGATAGTCCCCCTACTTTCCGGTGGCACATCTTTATCTCACCAGGAAGTTGGTGAAGATTTCTTTCTTGGCTGGAAATTTTCTGAACCTTTTTGAAAAGTTCTGACGCTTGATAAGACGCACGTCTCCTCGCATTAAATACTCCGAACACGTGTTACTCCACGATTTAGTAATATTTTTGCTGGTTCTTGAGATAATCATGGCCACGATTTTAGCCGCATATTACTTTACTTATACGCCTCTTTCTTCTTCTTTTACACTTAACAGTTTCATAAACTCTCTCAACTTCTTTGCATTCAACTCTTTTCTGCTTTCATCTTTCTTTAACCTTCTTTAAGAAATGCTTATCACCTTCTGTTAATTATGGCTTCTTTCACTAACTCTTCCAAGAACTCCGGTCTTTCTTCTGTGGGGGCTCAAAGAGGAGCAAAGACAAAGAGGTCGATGTTCATACCGACCCTCCTACGATGAGTACCATCATCCCCAAATATCTCAACACAACCAAGGACTTCGAAGAGAAGTTTCCTACTTTAAACCCTCGCACCTAGGCTGTTTGCACATTCCTTTCTTCTATTCGCCCTTCCACTATTCCTGCTGTAAAGGAAGACTGTGATTGCCACGATCTAAACATCATTACTCCCGATCTGGTGAAACGAGTAACCTTCACTAAGAAGGGCTTCACGTACGTTTACACATACACCTTTACTTTGGGTGCGTTTTCTTTGAGCAGGGGACTTGGCCCCGTGATTTTGGAGCAGTGCCACTGGTACCATGTTTATTTGGCACAAGGGGGCCTTCCGGCGTGGCGAATGGTGTCCTGTCTGCGGCGGTTGTGCTAGGAAACGAAGGAGGACCTCACCTTGGCTCATATGATGAACCTCTACTCCCCAAGATTTTTCGTGGGAGAGTTTTAAATTTCAGCAAGCATGGCCATCATACTTTGCTCACCAGCATGGATGACGATAACGATTGGTGGGTGGATGGAACGGTTTGTCGTCATTGTCGCCAGGGACATCATCCTGGCTACAATTTCGCCTTTCCCCGAATCCTGGACTCGTCCACGTAAGTTTACAACTTATCTTTTTCTCCAAATATATAGGTTGTTTCATGTCATTGTTAGCCTTTCTTCATTCATTATTTCAGCAACTCGGTGGACACCTCCAAGGGTTGAAGGCCTGGATCGGTGGGTTCAGAAGATTCTGGACATCACTATGCCTGAAACCAGCCGGTAGAAGGAATTGGCCCCCAAATATAGATGGAGGGCCAAGAAGCATGGTAAACTGACTCGTAAAACTGACTTTGCCTTCATTTCATCTTTGTACCTAAGAAAACAGGTTAACCCTACCTTTTTGTTTGATTCACGTCTCTCTCAAGGTTTTGTCTCCGTCCCTGAGGAGGATGTTTTGGTCGATCCCCGCATAGACTGCAAGGTTGTTGCAGGAGGCTCCCATCCGAACATGTGCCCTCGGGTCTGCTTTAGTTGCAGGTTCTTCTTCTCGGAGTCCTCAGCTAGAGAACAGGCAACCAAAAAGGCGGTGTTCTTCCTCGCCCAAGGGTAAAAATAAGAAAGTGAAGAAAGTGGCGCCCGAGCCAGCCACATCCATTATGGTTATTAACGATGATGGGGAAACTAGTGATGAAAAGGCTTCCCTTCAAAGGAGACAACGATCTTCATCAGCTCAACAGAATGATCAGTTTGAAGAGCTTAGAACCCTAATCGAGGACGATGCCTGTGACGACCCAGAGGGTCATCACCTGTTTCCTCATTCGTTCCGTGCTTCCGAGGCCTTGAAAACCTCATTTTTTTACTTACCTCGATTCGCGTGCGCAGTCCGGGCGCATAGCCGGAAAGCTTTTATGTTGAAATATGTGAATTCTGTGAAAAATTTGAAGAATTTTGATATTAATATTGCTAAAGTTGACTTTGGTCAACATTTTTGGTAAACGGACCCGGACCCGTGATTTGGCGGTCCCGGAGGGTCCATAGAAAAATATGAGACTCGGGCATATGCCTGGAGTCGAATTCCGAGGTCGAGAGCTCGAGAAATAAATTTTTCTGTGAAATTGTTTTTCTGAAATACTTAAGGAAAATGGAAATGAAAATTGATTAAAAGACTATGGTATCGGGCTCGTATTTTGGTTCCGACGCCCGGTACAAGTCTTAAATATGTGTTAAGCGCTTTCTGTAAAGTTTGGTCGAAATCGGACGTCATTTGACGTGTTTCGGACCTAAATATCTAAAGTTAGAAGTTTAAGAAGTTTGAAATGAAAATGATGATTTTGAGGCTTGATCCATTGATTCTGATGTTATTTTGGCGATTTGATCGCTCGAGTAGGTTCGTAGGATGTTATTGAGTTAGTGTGTGTGTTTGGTTAGGAGCCCCGATGGCTCGGGAGTGCTTTCAGAGGTGTTTCGGGATGTTTTGGCTTAGGAAAAACATAGCAGAAAATTCTGCAATTTTTGCTCAGTGATTTCCTCTTACGCGATCGCAATCTTCAGCCCGCGATCGCGTTCCTTTGGCTCTTTACTCTTTCGCGTTCGCGTATTTGATCACGCGATCGCACTGCCTTAGCATTTCCTTCAATGCGTTCAGTAGGTTTGCGTTCGCCTAGACCAAGTTTTGGACCCCCCCAGTATTCCCCTACGCGATCGCATTACAACCCACGCGATCGCGTTGACCATTCTGTGTAACCCTTCGCGATCGCATCTCTACATCCGCGATCGCGTAGGGTAAATTCGCCCAGTTATTTTAAAGCCTAAAAAACAGAACCAGTGACGGGATTTCTTCATTCTTTTCACACGAGCTCTCCTCTTAAACCCTCCAAAGACGAAATTCAAGCTCTCCTTCCTCCATAACTCTTTGGGTAAGTAATCTTAACATCATTCCCTCATTATTTCTTCATCTAATTACTAATTTCCTAGCCCTAAATCATGAAATCAAAGTAGAAATTAAGGGTTTTGGGTAGAGTTAGGTTTTTGGGAATTTTGGGTGATTCAACCTCAATTTGGGGTCGAATCTTGAAATAAATTATATATTTGAACTCGTGGGGTTATGGGTGATTGGGTTTTGGTCCGAGCCTCGTGTTTGGACCATGTGGACCCGGTGTCGAATTTTGGTATTTTTGGGAGAATGCTAGGAAAATTCATATCTAGGCTATGGGATGTTGCCATTGAGTCCTTATTGATATTATTGAACTAATTATGACTAGATACCGTTGTTTCGGAGTCGGATTGTAGAGGAAAGGCGGTATTTGAGGATTGATTGCTATTCCTCGGACCGAGGTAAGTGTTTGGTCTAACTTTGGCTTGAGGGAATAGGAGTAGAGTCTTTTTGTTGCTAGTTGCTATTTGTCTAGTACGGTGTATAGGCATGGTGACGAGTATCTATACACTGGTGTCGAGCATGACCGTGAGTCCTAATTTGCTATATTATCGAATTCTTAATTGTTGTTTATGAGGACTTGGTTGGAAATCTTTAACACTGAGCCAGTAATTGTTGAGACTGAGTATTCATTTAATTGTGTTAAGTAGCAATTGAATAATTTCGGTTATAGCTGGATCTCCCTTGCCGGGATAGTTTATTATAACATCTTTTCTCCCTTGCCGGGATTATTTTGTGTATTGTGTTGAGAGAAATGGGATCGCGTGGCACGCCGACCACGAGATATTATGAAATGGGATCGTGTGGCACGCCGACCACGAGATATTATGAAATGGGATCGAGTGGTACGCCTACCACGTGTTATTATGAAATGGGATCGAGTGGTACGCCTATCACGTGATATTACGAAAAGGGATCGAGTGGTACGCCTACCACGTGTTATTATGAAATGGGATCGAGTGGTACGCCTACCACGTGATATTATGTCATGGGATCGTGTGGCACGCCGACCACGAGATATTATGAAATGGGATCGAGTGGTACGCCTACCACGTGTTATTATGAAATGGGATCGAGTGGTACGCCTACCACGTGATATTATGTCATGGGATCGTGTGGCACGCCGACCACGAGATATTATGGAATGGGACCGGCTTGCACGCCTGCAACGAGAGGAAATTGAAACAAGTGAAAGTGGTTTGTTTTCCCTTATTCTGTGCTAGACGTAATC